TCTAAGTCTAAAATTATTTCAAAATAATAAATTAAAAAATAGTATGATATTTCTGTAGTGTCTCTATGAACTCAAGTACGTAAGCATATTTCAAGTATTTAAACATATTATGTTGGTTTCAGTACATTAGAATTAAAATTGTCCGATCTTTGGCCAGTAGGAACATATTCAGGTTGGATCCTAAGTCCTTTTGATGTGGTCCCAACAGTATGGGATAGCTTCCTTGCTTTCTAACATGTAAAGATGTTTGTACATTTTATGCACTAGACCTGGGATCAGAAATTTCTCCAAGGACTCCTGGTTCCTTGTAGGGGGCAGTGGTCTTTAGAGAAAATAATATGGGGGCTAGAGGTGCTATTTTTTATGTGTTAGTCATTGTTTTGGGGCATTTTCAATGGTAAGAGCTAGAAAATATTTTTTGTTTGTTTTGAAGATAAACTATACCACTAATTAATACTGAGCCTTCCAGTTCCTATCTAGGGCTAACTATAGATTTTTTACTTAGCCTTCTTGTCTTACGTGTGTGTTTCCTTACAAACATGCTAAAAATCTTGCTTCTCAATTATACCAACACAATTACTCATTTAACACACATACAACAGCCTTAGAATATCAATTCCAATATTATCACCAACAATATAATTGCTGAAAAGAAATATATATATGCATATTTGCATTTAATTTTTAAGGATGTACAGGAAATTTCTTGTTTTAAAGTCACTTGGAACAGTTTGTGTGGTTATGCCATCAACTGGATACATAGTTAGATGCATTTGTTTCATTTTTCTTTTGTTTTTTTTTAGGGACTTATTACAATTTAAATTTTGTTTTATGACTATGCAAACATTTGCTGGTTCCAGAATCAAATCTATAAATAAACAATACAAGAGGACTTCAAAAAACTTGTGGAAAATGGAATTGAAAGATAAAAATAAAAAATATAAAATTTATTTCTCAAAGTAAGCTCCATCAAGTTCAAGACACTTTTGTAAGCAACGATACCAGCATTTAGACCATCTCTAAAAAACTGAGGGTCCTGGGAATTTAACCATGTCCATGCAGTCTTTTTTACATTATTAATTGAAGAAAATGGGTGCCCTTTAAAGATTTTTAAGATTAGGAAACAAAAAGAAGTCAGAAGGAGCCAAATCAGGACTTTAAGGTGGATGCCTAATGATTTCCCATGTAAACTCTCACAAAATTGCCCTTGTTTGCTGAGAATAAGGACTCTCTGGTAAAGCTTTCCTGGGCATTTTTCTGCTAAAACTTTGGTTAACTTTCTTAAAACATTCTCATAATAAGCAGATGTTATCATTCTTTGGCCCTCCAGAAAATCAATAAGCAAAATGCCTTGAGCATCCCAAAAAACTGTTGCATGACCTTTGCTGTTGACTGGTCTACTTGTGCTTTGACTGGACCACTTCCACCTCTTGGTAGCCATGGCTTTGATTGTGCCTTATCTTACCAGGATTATACTGGTAAAACTACATTTCATCTCCTGTTATAATTCGTCAAAGAAATGCTTTAGGATCTTGATCCCACTTGTTTAAAATTTCCATTGAAAGCTTTGCTCTTGTCTACAGCTCTGGCCACAACAGTTTTGGCACCCATCGAGCAGAAAGTTTTCTCAACTGTAATTTTTCAGTCAGAATTGTGTAAGCTGAACCACTTGATATGTCTGTGGTATTGGCTATTGTTTCTGCTGTTAATTGTTGGTCCTCTTCAATTAGGGCACAAACAAGATGAATTTTTTCTTCGCTAATCGATGTGGATGGTCTGCTGCTGTGGGCTTCATCTTCAATATTATCTCATCCCTTCTTAAAATGAGTTATCTGTTTGTAAACTGCTGATTTCTTTGGGGCATTGTCCTCGTAAATTTTTCATAAGGTGTCAGTGATTTCATCGTTCTTCCACCCAAGCTTCACCATAAATTTGATATTTGTTCTTGCTTTAATTTTAGCAGAACTTGTGCTGCCCTGATAGGGGCTCTTTTCAAACTGATGCTGTATTCTTCTTAGTGCCTTAAACTGGATCGTGTTCAGACATGTTACAACAAGTTAGTATGAGTTTATTTTGGTGCAAAAACATTTTGCAATCCATCCAGTTTTTTTAAAACATGTATTTTTCATGAATTTTTTGAAGACCCCTCATATATTTAAAGAAATCTATCTTCTATTTCTACCTCTTCCACACTATTCCCTCAGTCTGATTATAGGTGAACATTTAAAAAAAAGTGTGGTTCCTCTTTCCATTTTGTTTATATGTAGACATATGTGTGTACATATAAATCCATTAAAAAATGGTAATAGATAGTCCTTGTTTATTTCCAGTGAATATCTTGGAGACTACTCCAGAGCAATATAGAGTCGTCTTTCGGTATCATGTAGGATGGTTCCAGGCCCCCCACAGATATCAAAATCTGTGGATGCTTGAGTCCCTGATATAAAATGGTGTAGTATTTGCATATAACCTATGCACATTCTCCTGTAAACTTTAAATCATCTCTAGATTATTTATAATACCTAATACAATGTAAATGCTATGTAAATAATTGTCATATTGTCATGTTTAGGGAATAATGACAAGGAAAAATGTCTGTACATGTTCAGTACAGATGAAATTTTTTTAGGATATTTTTGATCCATGGTTGGTTGAGTCCATGGATGTGGAATCCATGGATCTGGGGGGACGACTGTATAGATGTATTCTTTGTTCCTTCCTTCAGCTGCATACTTTTTTTTTAGTTTATTCAACCAGTCCCTTATTGATGAACACTTGGATTGATTCTCATCTTTGGCTTTACAAAGAGTGTGAATGCAGAGTTTTTCTTTTGACTTAGCAGAGCCTTAGGGAGGAGTCAAGGAGTGAAGTTGCTTGGGTGCTAGGGTTTCTCTCACGTGGCCAGGGATTTACCCTGCATCCCCTCGAATGGGATTCCCATTCTGCTGGAACTGTAGCCAGAGGTGGATCCTGGTTCTTGGATACTTGGGGGTAAAGGGTCCTTAAATTGTGTTTGTCATGGGAGTTAGCATGAGCTGGGGGTTCTTGGTGGTTTTGATAGGCAATCATCCTGGAAAGCAGATGGAAAAGAAGAGGATATAGTGCTAGACAATGATCTGCCTATACACAAAATTGTGCATATTATTTCAAGGGGTTCATGGATGCCCCTCCGTGAGTACAAGTTCAGAGACATCTGCTCTCACAAACTCTGGGCTTCCTCTCCTAGGACATTCATTTGCCTTCTCATCACCAGTGACTCCCAAAGTCATATCTCATGCCCAGACCTCTCTCCTGATCTCTAGCTGCCTCCAGGTCATCCCTACCGGGTGATCTGTAGATCTACAGAACATATCTATAGCTGCAGTTGCCCTCTCCCCGCCACAGGTCCACTCTTCTGCCCATGTTTCAATGGATGGTTGCATCGCTTGGCTTGCTGACCAAGCCACAGTCTGGAAGACATCCTTGATTTTTTTTCCCTATCACCCTCCACATCTAATTAATGACTCTTAAATGGGAACAAGACCCATTTCTTTCCCTTATGACATAACTCTAGTTCAGGCCACCGTCATCTCTCACCTGGATGGCTGTAGCAGCTTCCTAACTGGTCACCTGGCCTCTTGAATGAGTCTCTCTTGGTCATCTATTCTTACACAGTACTAGTGAGATCTTTCTATACTGCAATCTGATATGTCACTTCCCTGTTCCTAACTCTTCAAAAGCTCTTCCATTGCCCCATTCACATGTCTTAGCACAATAAGAAAGGCCTCCTTGCCTGCTGCCTAGGGGTTTCCAGCTTCTATTCCCAATTTTTATCCAGAATTTCTGCAGTGGTGGGAGCCAAGGTGAGAAGCGATACAAACTTTATTTTGCAAATGTCTCATAAGCCATCTAAGCAGGTTCAAAGATCGCTGAACAAAATAGGGCTGAACCTGGAGAATGGGGCCAGATCACAAACACTTTCCGAGTAGCTGCTATGTGCAAGGAAGTCACACAGGGGCACAGAGTTGAGTGAGACAAGGTTCTGCCCCCCAGGGCCTTACAGCCCATAAAGGGCATAAGAGGTGGACAAAAGAGGCATGTTCCAAATGAACTGTTTGAGAAAACAAACAGTTTTCTACCACATGCCAGGCCTGTAACACAAAACAAATGCAATTAAGTCTCACAAGAAAGGGAAAGTACTGTGGGTACATAAGAGGCAAGGGAGGACTTCCAGTTGCGGTAGATCAGCAAAGTCTTCGTGGAAAACAAGTGCTTGAAGACTTGAAAGGTAGTCAGAGAATGGTCATGCAGAGACGGGCTCAGGGCCTGGGAGAGCCTCCAGGCAGTCTCCAGGCAGGAGGAACTACAGGAGCAAACTTTGAAGTTACCCACAGCCCTGGGGGTCCTGCTCTCACCTGGGCTCCAGCCTCCAGCCTGTAAGGAGGTTTCTAGAAGCCGAAGGACGGCACTCCTTGTGTTCTCTGTCGTAATGACACCCTGAAGAGCTTCTCACATGTTGTGGATAACACTGAGTACAGCTGTTGCAAATTTCATAGACGGAAAGAGTGGAGTCCAGAGGAATTAAGTTAGCATTTTCAAATAAAGTACTTGCTATATACTAGGCAATCATCATGGGGAATGGAGAAATGCATAAAATTCATTTTCTGCCCTTTGGAAGCAAGGTTATTGGCTATGAGCGTTCAGAAGAATAAAGAATCCTTTTAAGCTTGGATGTGAGGTGGTAGTCAAGAAAAGCTTCCTGGAGGAGATATGAGTTGAGCAGAACCCTAAAGTGGGGGTAGGATTTGTGTAGGTTGGGAGGCAGAGGGGGAAATTTCAGGTGTGGGCAAAGCATAAGACATGTTCAGGGCCTAGCAAGGACTCCAAATGGGGTATGAAAGGGGCATCCAGGGAGGTTGATCTATGGAAATAAAGCTGGAGTAATAAGTAGGGGCCAGAGATTGGCTCCAAATAATTGAATCTATTTCCTTCTCTTCTCTATCTGCTCTGTATTCCACCAGGACCAGCTACTCTTCTGTGATGACTGTGACCGTGGCTATCACATGTACTGTCTAAACCCCCCAGTGGCTGAGCCCCCAGAAGGTAATGACAATGAGGTCAACAGTAACAACAGCAGCTACTACTACCACTTATTGAGCCCTCACTGTGGTGCAGGCCTTGTGCTAAGGGCTTTACATGACTTGTCTCATTTAATCATCACAACCCTCCGAGGTAGGTATGACTACTACCATTTCACAGATGAGGAAACTGAGGCACAGTTCAACCAGCTGTAATTTCAACTTCAGGGTGGAGGAGGTGTTTCCCAGACATGTAGCTGAGAGGGTGGGGAGATGCGAGTTTGCAGAGGAACTCGCTCAGGCTGGTGATACTGCTTAAGAGGCATGAGCCAGGAGCAAGGGTCCTTACAACAGTTCAGCCAATCATCTCTGAGAACTTACTTTCTGCTGAGCAGTGGACTCCAGCATGTTTTCAGGACTGGGACTTGGTCTCTGAAAGTCAAAAGAAAACAGGGTTCACAAGAAGTTAGGGCCATTGGGGTGGGGCTCAAGAGTTAGGAGAGAGGCTGCTACTAACTCCGTCTTGTTTCTTGTAGGAAGCTGGAGCTGCCACTTATGCTGGGAACTGCTCAAAGAGAAGGCCTCGGCCTTTGGCTGCCAGGCCTAGGGCCCAGGTCACAGAATGTGACTTGCTGTTGGAGAGAGGCTGAGCCAGAGCCTAGTTCAAACCAGATCGAGCCCTCCTCCCACACATCCAGACAGACCAATGTAAGGAAAATAAATAGTCACAGAGGGGCATGGACACATGGAACCACGAGGGCGAGGTACCTCGTCACCTCCCCCACTCCACGTGTGGTGCTGCAGCCAGCACCTCCTTGCTTCTACCAGAGGATCTCGCACTTTTGAAGAACCACCTCAGTCCCAGCCCAGTGGAGCCCCTTCTCACTCTTACCCTAGCACTGCGGCCCTCGCACTGGTTCCCATTTTAAGGGAAGCCATTTTGTGACCACTCATCAGTTATTTGTGTGTAGTTTGGTGTTTTTTAATCTATTGTGTTCCAAGAAACCTTCACACAGTCTCCTCACCCCCAGCTTAGACTCTTCATCCTAAACTCTCCCCAGAGGAACAAAAAGCTGTGGAGAAGTTATTGTTTCTTACAAGCCTTACTGGAAACTTCTAGACTTGGAACCTGGGGGCCATTTTGAAGATGGAGCCTTGAAACCCCTTTTTGTTCCTTGGTCTCTGTGGAGAGGAAGAGTTGTTTCTAGAACCCCAGCCAGGGTGGGTCTTGATACACTACATTAGGTCACTTGATGTGGGGGTGGGGAGAAAAATAGGGGCTCTGAGAGGTGGGAGGAAACATTGTGAAAATAATGCTAATGCCCCGCCATAGCTAGTCAGTATTTGTTATCCACCAGGAGAGACTTTGCATGGGACCAGGCTAGTTCCTTGACCTTTTAAGCTGGGACATCCCTGAGGTGACACAAGCCATAGTCTATAGACAGAGGAAGATGCTCAAAACTCTGACCCCAACTGACCTGGATCTAGAGGCTTCCCCTGGTGGGATTCAAGAACCAGGAAGGTGCGCGAAGGCTGCCCCGTCAAGTGTCCGAATGTGGGTTACAAGGGACTGCAGCTTTGAGAAAACTTCAGTATTGATGAGACACTACAAATTCCTTTTCCCCGAGTAATTTCTTCCTTCCACAGTAGTGTGTGCTTGCCTTCTGAGACCTGACTGGAAATGTTAGGATGGGGGAGAGATGATTGTCACCTAAATGGATAATTAGGGTGGTGTGATTATTTATGATCAGGGTGGCAATGATTCAGGACCCTCACTTTGAAGGCTACTCTTGTCCCCTAAGTTTCCCAATATGTGTAGGATTCTTGTTTTCAAAAAATATTTCTAGAAGAAGGAGGTGGGGAGGCTCAGATTCTGAGGACTCTGTGTGTTGGAAGACAGCCCTGCAGGCTTGAGCAGATTGGGCTGTCTTTGAATTGCAGCAACAGCACAATAACTGACACATTTCTGGAAAAATCATTTGCCCAAAGGGCAGGTCTTGTTGAGCAGGACCCTCACGCATGCTCAGTCGGCTTCCTTGAAATCAGCTCCATCTCTGTGGTCTGGCTGCTTACAACAAAGCCCCAAGTTATTTTTAGTCCCCTTCAGCTCCTGAAGAAGCCCCTTGAGACTCGGGCTAGTTGGGCCACTTCTGCCCGGCTGCAGTGTTCGCTCTGTGGCTCGAGCAGGAGTGTCCCTCTCCTGGCTAATTGCTCTTGGCTAGTGGACCCAGGGCAGGCTGGTGTGGAGCCAAGTGGTGCTGGTCTCCCCAACTCCTTTGCAGAATGACCTGAGGCAAGAGATGGGGGTTGCTCTCCTGCAGGGCCTGTGGCCTCAGAGTGAGTTACACACAAACAAAATGACTTCATTTAAAGGGCCCCTGTCCGGATGGGACTTTCATCTTCCTCATAAGATATCTACTTCCCGCTGCTGGTTGGTGAGACCGTCTGGATTCTGAAGGCCTGGGGGTGGGTTGGGAGGGTCCCGTCACATCAGAGGGACACAGTTCCTCACCTGGCTACTCTGGCTCTCTGTCTTCCCACAAAACCCAACGCAAGGTGTCCTCAAAGGCTGATTATTGGTTTTGAGAATTCGTTTTAATTTTAGATACCCGAAAATTTTTCTAAATGTCACAATGGCTTAAAAGTTTTAAAAAAAGCAAATCTGAAACCAAAAATTGTGGCTCTACCCCTTGACAGACTTTCTTTGGAGTATGTGCAAATCTATTTCCCACAGAAATTCTGATGATGGTTGGCCCTAGTCTGTCTCCAGCCGTGCCTGCTCTTCCCACAGAAGCTGAGAGTGGACCGAGTCTCCCACGCCTAGGCAGGCCGCTGGATCTTGCCTGCAGTGGTGGGGTGGTCAGGGCTCTGGAATGACATTAGGAAGGCCCCAGAGTTCCCCTCTCAGTTTCATTACTCCCTGCAGAATGGGCTCAACTTCTTCATCTTTGGAGGCCTCAGTTTCCCTGTCTGGAAAGTGGGTATTTCTTATGGGATGACACTGTCAGGGTACTTCAAGCGGACAAAAAGTCTCCATTGTCACATTTATTACCTTCTTGTGTTGAAAAAGGAAGGTGTTGGTAAACTTCAAATCGGTTTCTTTTTTTGAGCTCCAGAGAATGAGCTGGAATCATAGGGTACCTGTGAAGGATCAGGGTTTTAGTTTCACCTCTGCCACTAAGTTGCTGTGTGACCTTGGGCAAGTCACTTAACATCCCTGACCCTTAGTTTGCCCACCTGTAAAATGGAGATAGTAACACTCACCCTGCCTATTCCACAGTGACATTGTGGGGGGAGGGGGGTCTTAAAAAAAGCATAATGTTACATAAACAATAACTGCACAGCTGAGCTTGTCTGGGAGGAACTCAAGATGCTTCCATGTCTGCTGTCATGTGTGAGCCAAAGTTAGATGCCTTCTTGGAATCTTCCTTTTGACCAAGGGGAATATGTGTTTCAGGGGCTGGGCTGCCTGATGTCAGGGCCACTAGGCCAAAGCTGTGCCCAAGGAAAACATGACTATGCATGGGCTGTGGAGGAGGTGAGGGATTTACCATGGGGTTGGGGTGTAATGAAGATACCCAAGACACTCCCTTCTGCAAGATTCACCAGTTTAGAATGGAGAGCTAACTGCTGGAGAGGACTATAGTTCATCTCAGGTCAGGTGTGACACTCACTTTGTGACTTGGTTTAAAGCCCGGCTCTGCCACTTTGTAGCTGGTTGACCTTAGGCAAATGACTTTACCTGTCTGAGCCTCACTTCCCACATCGATGAGGTGGGGGAATGTGGCCTCTCCACAAGGTCATTGCAGGTAGTGCTGGCAAAGTCCTGGCGTGGATCTGGCATGATGAAGGCCCCCATGCCATGGGAGCTTTGTCATTTTGTGCAGAGGCCACCAAATAGAGATAACGATGCTGTTGCCTCCCAGCTCACGTCCCTAATAGCCAGGCTACCTTTACCCCACTTCACCCCCACATGGAGCCTCCACAGATCAGAAAGGGGGGGCTGCAGGATCTCAGCTGCAAGTTGAAATCCTGTTTCCTGGAGGCATTTTTGAAACGTGTAGCAAATTCAGTGCAGGCAACTCTGTGAGGAAATAGAGACAAGGCCCCTGTGAGGATAGCTACCTTCTGGCTTTCCTTCTCAATGCCTCGCAATCACAGCCCCTGAGGCAGGAGCCGAAGTCCCGGGGCTTTCACCCCAGTGCCCTGGGAAGCCCAGGCAGGCTGCAGAGAGCAGCTGCTTCCATGCTCCAGGCTCAGACGTCTCACTGGAACCAGGGCAGAGCCCGTGGGTAGGTGGGAGGGAGGCCAGATTCCTTCAGAGCTGGGGAAGATAACAGGTTTTGAGGTTGGGGGAGGGTTTGGGTTTCACGGTGATGGTTTCAAGATACCCCGGAGGGTTACACTCCTGGTGCATTTTTGTCTTTGTGCTTTGAATACAGCATGATTCCCTTCAGCCCTCCCCTTAAGAAGTTCAGATATTGTAAGGAAGAAAAATGAGATGATTGTTATGACTTTTCCTTTGGGGGCAAGTTTAGGAGACCTGTGCTCTTCTGTGTTGCTGATGAAAGATTACTGGCAACCTGGGCTTCAGGACTCAGAGAAGAGGGGCTTGCGTCCTCCTCTTGGAGTCCGAGAGCATGTGCGTGAGTGTGTGCATGTGTGTGTGTGCATGTGTGTGCGTGCGTGTGTGCATGTGTGTGAGCGCGTGAGTGTGCATGTGTGTGTGCGCGTGCGTGTGTGCATGTGTGTGTGCGCGTGCGTGTGTGCATGTGTGTGTGCGTGCACACGCACATGGCGGGGGTGGGGGGATGTTTGGGGGTGGCCCAGGGTAGGGCCCTGAGGACCACCTTCCCTGACCCCCAGGCCAGGTCTCAGCCCCTTGTGGAAGTGCTGGGACAAGAGCAGTCCCCCTCCCTCTCTCACTCCCCTGTTCGCTGCTGCCCACTCTGGGACCCTCCTCAGGGAGTCCCAGTGTCACAGCCCCCCTGCCCCCTCCCCTGCCCCGGGCCAGAGCCACGCTCACATGCTCCCTCTCCCACTGAAGTCGCCGTGAGCCCCAGGCCTGGCGCCTGTGCTGGTGTCTGCTTTAGGGGAGGGAAGGGAAGTCAGGAGGAAGGAGGTGGGGAGGGGCGGGCAAGGCACGAGGAAGAGGAGGGAGGTGGGAAGGACACGTGGGGAGGGCGAGCATCTGTGACAGAACCAGAGGGGAACCTGATTCCCTCAGGGAGAAATCCTGGAACTAAACAACCAGCAGGCGTGGGGCGGGAATGAAGAGTTAGTATAACCTGTTTCTTCTCAGGCCTGTGATCCTGGACAACGGTTTTTTTCTTTAAAGGTCAATCCCTTGCCCAATTTTGGACCCCTAGACAGATCTCTCTTTCTCGAGGCCCCCTGGCCTCGAGCTCCCTGTTGGTTGGGGGTGGGGGGCTTCAGAGGGCAAAGCAGGCAGGGGCGGTGCCCCTCCCCCAGCAGGAGGTGGGAGGGACCTCAGTCTTCTGGCCAGTCCCCGTGGATTTTCCCATGGCCACAGGACAAGTGTCCTTCCAGTTTTCTGAAGTGAGCTGCTGAGGCTTCTCTGCTCTGGGTTGCAGGGGGTGGGGTTGGTGGGGAGAGAGATGGCAGAAAAGGGTGGTCTAGATGGTGGCTGCAGCCTTGGGGAGCAGAGGAATTCCGGGTACTGATATCAGAGGGGTCAGGCCCGGCAGGTCCCCCTGACCCCAAGCCCAGCTGGGAAGTGAAGAGGGGGCGGGCCTGGCCAGTCCTACCCCGTGCCCCCAGCTGGCAAGGTGGACGTGCCACCTCCTCTCCCTGCTTGTGTGCTACCCCTTTTGGAACCTTACTCCCACCCTGAAGGGATGCTTTTTATCTTCAGA